TATCGGATATGAGGTATTTCGTGCCAATTGCTCTGATCGTGACTCTGGAAGCTATGGGCAACTCATCTTCCATTTGGATACAGATTCCAGGTTATCTGGGGATCAGCTCAGCCAAGAAGTGGCCAAATTCTTCAAAATCGTACTCCACCAGACCGGCGAAGGAAGGCACCGGAATCTGAGAAAGGCCAGCCATCTTGCAGCCAGATACAGTATACCTGTCCTTCAGACCAATCGGGCCCTCCATCCTTTGGTTGGCTTGCTCCGTTCGAGTGTCCGTGGAGACACTGCCAACCAAAATGCTGTTTCACCCGCAGCAACTTCCTTCTTATTTCAAGATTCTACAAACACTAGCACCACGAAAAACGATAAAAACGGCAGCAACTCCACGCTCATCGCAGACCCAACATCAGCTAGATCCGCTAGAGCCAATGCGAAGAGGAAATTTGAATCAGAATCTGCTGTGGTAGGACGTTTTAGCCTGGTATTGCGCGTTGAAGATGGAGACATGCCTTGGCCCAGGTCGTTAAGCCTTAGGGTAAGAGACAAAACTAAGCGAAATATTTGATTATTTTCTATTTTCTATGATCTATAAAATTCATAAAATAACCGAATCTATGACGAGTTAAAAGGTGAAGGAAAATGGAAGCTCGACACGTATCAAGGTAAGAGGCCGAACCAAATGAGAGATTCGATATCTTGCTAGTATTAAATAATTTGTAAGATCTATTCATCTTATCTAGAGCTACTCCAACTGAAAGGATTTGTCATGTCCAAAGCAGTGAAGTAGTATCATTAAAGGAAGAGTATGTGCAATCGCCAATCACCTGAGTAGGCTAATGCCCAACCACTGGGTTTGGCGAAAAATCTCCGACTATCCTCAACCCCTTATTTCGGCCAATTGCTAAAATTGTTTACCAACCCCTGTAACACTAGGGACCCTCTAGAGGGTCGGATTCGGATTTTAGACAATAGACGATGGCGATTTCGAAGGTATGCGAATGGCAATATACTAATATGAGGTACCTTAAACTCTATTAATATTTTGAGAGGTTGCTACGACCTAGGATGATAATACAAGTTGGTCTAATGGGGAATCCTTATTACACTATTATGGAATTTCTTTTTGACCTCTTTTTTGAAGTTGTTGCATTTCTATTGTAATTAATGTAAAAGTATATTATACCTTTTGATGAATACACTTTACTTCATTGACTAATCCTTTGGCTCCTATATGGTATCTTTTTATTCATCCCAAATTTTAATCTCGGAAAATGGCACTCCTCATATCGTGCTTTGCCTATTGGATCCTTATTCTGTCAGTTTTTAAGAAAGAAGCCCTATCTTTGTACACACTTATTTTCACAAAAGCTCTGCATTATATGGCCTTAAATTGAGTTGCATTTAATTGGATTTCTGTTTTGTTCGTGGGAATTCAGGAAGTTTCGATTAGTATATATGCCGAAAGCCCAGTGTCCGCATCTGATAAGTTCACCGATGCCCCCACTTTGAATAGATGAAGCAAGCAGGATCCTTTAAAGCCATTGGGCATGGTCTAAGTCCTGTTTAACTCACTTGTAAGTCTACTCAGAGGGTTCAATATTAAAAATGTATTCCCCTAATGTTACGCTTTCATTGAAGTTTAATCATTTTTAATTTGTATTTTAGACAATAACTGTAACTCACGGCTGAATCTTACTTCGTGCTCCTTCTTTGATAAGGAAATTGGCCGGAATATTGTTTATGCAACCATAGCAACCTTCTCTTTCAGCACTTTTATATTTGAAAATTTGCATGCTCAGTTTGTAGATCAAATCTTTTACAATATCTGTCTGCCCACTGTCTCCACTGTTTAGCCCTCCCATGCCATACGTCCTCGGTCTATGGTCGTATGTGTGGATGCTTTGTCAAGCTTTTCGTGTAGATACTTATTGGCAACAGAAAAAAAATTAGTGTCTAGCTAATAAGACTTAGCGAACACACACTGAGTTGGCTTTCGGTGCTTTGATACGATTTTTCATAATGGCTAATGATATTTCAGCCTAACTATATGCAATTTCGTCAAGTCAACTATTTAGGACTATTTATGAAATATTGCCGAGAGGTCTGGTTGCCCAGCAGCCGTGAAATAGCAATCTCTAATTTGCCATCAGATGATTCAACTCGGACTGGAAGCCGAGCGGTGGTTTTAAGTGTACTATTTTCAGTGTCAGTAGGAAAGCCTAAAAATAATTGCTACCTACGAAAAGATTTGCCTAGGCAAGCCGTCAAGACCTCACCGGTGAGCCTAGCGTGGTTGCCATGCCACTAAGTCAATGAAAGAATAACTATTTAGGAGTGCATGAGTTGTTTTAGATGGATAGACTTAATCGTGTTTTCAAGAACACTTTTAATGACACTGCGCGTAACACAAATTCGGCCATTGTCTTATGTTATCTACTAGCTTCGTCCATTGACTTGGCACATTCCCAGACATTTTGCAGGAATTAACAGTCTAAGAGCCGAGTCACAATTGACCATAGTGACAAATTTGTTCACTGAAGGTGTCAGCCACTATGTCGGCGAAACTTCGGAAAACTTACCCCTTCACTGGTCAGATATTGGAAGAAGACATGATAACAATGGGAGAAGATGCAGTACGGAGTACTTTAATCAAAGATTTGCTGAAATCGAGACCCAGTTGCGAGAAGAAGGTTGGAACAATTGTATTCAGGTGATGAAGACTAGCTAAATATTTTAATACCTTAAGGCAGTGATTCCCAAACTGTGCGCTGCGGCGCCCCGGGGAGCCGCAGCCTCTTTACATCGACGCCACGAAATATTCTAAAAGCTTAAATTTGAGATAATGTGCAGTGATCTGCAGGCTTATCTATCACATTAATTATTAAATATTAATTTTATATTAATAAAGTAAAAAAAATAACGAAGATACACGAGTTTTATCTATTTACATTTTTCGTATTTGAACAAAATAGGGTGAATAAATATTTGATTTATTGATTTATTGTTAGTCTCGAAACAATACTTAAATGCGAAAAATAAGTAACGTAGTCAATTTTTATAGCAAATATACATTTGATTCATCGACAATCCCACCAAAAAATGAAATATGACAAAAGGCCTGGCCTTCCTTGAAATTCACAAGGGTACTCGTGGCAATGTGCACGAGTGGTTAGCGTGTCAAGCTCGCATTCTGCACTGTCACGGTTCGACTCCTACTGGGGATGCGAGGTCGAAACTGCAGTCCACTTCTGAATTGATGCGAACAACTTTTGGGAAAGCAAGGCTATGTAAAATTCAATGGAAACGTCAGCTCTACTCATAGCATTGTCGGAAATTTCAACTTCCAGTTCTTCACTACATTGAACGATGTGGAATTTGTAAGTATTTGCGGTATTCTTTTATAAACCAAGATCAAACAATTTCTATACAACGATTGGAGACTGCGGCCACACAAAAGGCCACACTATCTTGGTCTTCATACCTTCAATTACTCACCTTAAGTCGTTTAAGTTGATCTAAAGATTGAAAGTTGAGGTCCTCCATAATCAGTCTTTACATCTTCTTAAATAAGCCAGGTTGATTACGTTTTTTATTCATCTATATGTTATCTAAAACATATGTGGGTGATTCCAGGCTGGATTAATCATCATATTGTTTTATGATTTATAATACCTAGGTGAAATTAAATTATAAATTTTAGTGCCAGACACATAATTAATATTATTAAAAGCTTAAAGCTAAATTTGTTGCCAAATCTTCTGTGGTAACAAAATGCGTAAGTGAAGGAATATAAAGAAAATAACCAATAC